GGTTATAGGCGTTTTCTGTTTATATACAGTAATTTATAGAAAAATGAAACAGTGCCCTAGTATATACTGCATCCTTCCTTTCCTCAGCCATCCTATCATTTTTTAGCATCCTTTTTGTTCTTTATCTGGCCTTGTTCTTTCCTCATCTGCTTTCTGTATATTTTCCCACTTACCTACAATACTGTATCAGAGGTTCTCAAACTGTAGGATGTTTTGAGAATCACTTGGTGGGTTGTTTAAAAATGCAGGTTTTGAGTCCCTTCCAAAGAGATCGATAAATATGGTTAGGGGATAGGACCAGAAGCCTGTATTTTTATTAAGGGGCTCAGGTGATTTTGATCCAAGTAGCCCGAAATGCAAAGTTAGATAAATGCTGGTTTAGCTTCCTTTTCTGAAGCCTTGCTAAATATCCTATTTAATTCAGAATTCTTAATCAATCTCTAGTCACTTTTTATTGTTTATATTTCTCCTGGTTTCCTACCAGGTGGTAGAGCTACTTAGTGCTTTAAAACATGGACAATACCAAGGAAGTCTCATTCATGACAAGTCTAGAAATAGCCACCAGCTTCTAAGATTTAAGGTCAGGTCTTGCATCTACTTTTATTTGCACATGCCTCCACTAGTCGTGTGGAGCTAGTAGGTTTCCCTGGGCTTAGGTCCCTCCATCTTTAGTGGCATTATTTTCTAAGAATCATAAACTTTTACAGCTGGAAGAGACTTTGGAGGTCATCCTTCACTGGAAAAAACAGAGTGGGTCAGTGAATTGTCTAAGGTAAAACTGGATTAGACTATAAGCCTAGCATTTTTTTTCTACTTCATTAATGTTCCTTTGGAGTATGTTTCTTTATCTCCTTCTCCCATCTGCCCCTTAAAATTCTGGGAAAAATGTAAAGAGCTTCATGTGTCCATAAAATGATAATTTATATATAAGGAACATAGTATTCTATATGTTATTTTTTCCAAACAACTTAAATTCAAATATTTTAAATTTTTAAAAGTGAAATCTTAAATATACAAACCCATAACTTATCCAGTAAATTAGATTAGAAAATACTGTTAGCGTCATCATAGTGAATACCAATTTAATCACTTTGGGTGGCATTAAAACACTCTGGTCATTTTAAGAGCAGTGTGGTAGACCTCCCATATGTCACTTCAAATCCTCTTGGCCTCTTACTTGAGCCACTATTATGGCAACCAGTTTCAAGCAGGACTGGGCAACTGCACCTTGCCTCCTGACTTCTGACAGGCTACAGGAACTGCTTGGCATTTGGGCATATACAACTTGGGAGAGGTGTGGTGCCGTCCATTAACCCCCCTTCAAAGACAATTCAGAGGCACATTTAATAAGGCTCCTCAAGATCAAGCCCTAGTACTATGTTGTTTCCAACTCAATGTGTCCTTGATTGGCTCTCCTGCCACCTGTTTCATTTCCCCTTCACTCTTGTTTCCTGGGATCACATCCACAGTAAACTATTGGACGCAAGCTTTTGTCTTGGGCCGTGCTTTTAGGAGAACCAGAACCAAGGCTAAGACAAGCAGTAAAAAAAACACTGGCAGGCAGAAAGATGACTTTTAACAAATTCTGTTGTTACATATTTTACTTGGTGAATGCCTATATTAAAAGGTTTTTTTTAAGTTTATTTTATTTATTTTTGGCTGCATTCGGTCTTCGTTGCTGCATGCGGGCTTTCTCTAGTTGTGGAGCACAGGCTCTAGGTGCGCAGGCTTCAGTAGTTATGAACGGGTTTAGCTGCTCCACAGCAGGTGGGATCTTCCCAGACCAGGGCTCAAACCCCTGTGCCCTGCATTGGCAGGCAGATTCTTAACCACTGCACCACCAGGGAAGCCCTTAAAAGTTTTTTGTTTTTTTTTTAAGCTTAAATCACTGCTGATTAGAATAAACCAGCACAACTAACTATAAAACTGAAAACATATCCAGAATTGAATTTTCTAGAAAAGTCACAAAGCTGTTTTACAGTTAATTTTTTATCCAGTGCTATTGCTGTAACATTTTAATATTCAGCCTCACTTTGAAAAGCTAAGCCACTTATATGAGTAGGTCAGTAGCATCTTCATAAAAATATTTTCCATTAACGTTACTTCAAAGTAAGGCTTTGTCTTTCCATTCTGAATCTTTTTTTTTAAACATCTTTATTGGAGTATTAATTGCTTTACAATGCTGTGTTACTTTCTGCTTTATAACAAAGTGAATCAGTTATACATACACATATGTCCCCATATCTCTTCCCTCTTGCGTCTCCCTCCCTCCCACCCTCCCTATCCCACCCCTCCAGGCAGTCACAAAGCACCGAGCTGATCTCCCTGTGCTATGCGGCTGCTTCCCACTACCTATCTACCTTATGTTTGGTAGTGTATATATGTCCATGCCTCTCTCTCGCTTTGTCACAGCTGACCCTTCCCCCTCCCCATATCCTCAAGTCTGTTCTCTAGTAGGTCTGTGTCTTTATTCCTGTCTTACCCCTAGGTTCTTCACGACATTTTTTCCCCTTAAATTCCATACATATGTGTTAGCATACGGTATTTGTCTTTCTCTTTCTGACTTACTTCACGGTGTATGACAGACTCTAGGTCCATCCACCTCACTACAAATAACTCAATTTTGTTTCTTTTTATGGCTGAGTAATATTCCATTGTATATATGGGCCACATCTTCTTTATCCATTCATCCAATCATGGAGACTTAGGTTGCTTCCAGGTCCTGGCTATTGTAAATAGAGCTGCAGTGAACATTGTGGTATATAACTCTTTGAATTATGGTTTTCTCAGGGCATATGCCCAGTAGTTGGATTGCTGGGTCATATGGTAGTTCTATTTTTAGTTTCTTAAGGAACCTCCATACTGTTCTCCATAGTGGCTGTATCAATTTACATTCCCACCAACAGTGCAAGAGTGTTCCCTTTTCTCCACACACTCTCTAGCATTTATTGTTTCTAGATTTTTTGATGATGGCCATTCTGATGGGTGTGAGATGATATCTCATTGTAGTTTTGATTTGCATTTCTCTAATGATTAATGATGTTGAGCATTCTTTCATGTGTTTGTTGGCAATCTGTATATCTTTGGAGAAATGTCTGTTTAGGTCTTCTGCCCATTTTTGGGTTGGGTTGTTTGTTTTTTTTGTTATTGAGCTGCATGAGCTGCATGAGCTGCTTGTAAATTTTGGAGATTAATCCTTTGTCACTTGCTTCATTTACAAATATTTTCTCCCATTCTGAGAGTTGTCTTTTCGTCTTGTTTATGGTTTCCTTTGCTGTGCAAAAGCTTTGAAGTTTCATTAGGTCCCATTCGTTTATTTTAATTTCCATTTCTCTAGGAGGTGGGTCAAAAAGGATCTTGCTGTGAATTATGTCATACAGTGTTCTGCCTATGTTTTCCTCTAAGAGTTTGATAGTGTCTGCCCTTACATTTAGGTGTATAATCCATTTTGAGTTTATTTTTGTGTACGGTGTCAGGGAGTGTTCTAATTTCATACTTTTACAAGTACCTGTCCAGTTTTCCCAGCACCACTTATTGAAGAGGCTGTCCTTTCTCCACTGTATATTCTTGCATCCTTTATAAAAGATAAGGTGACCATATGTGCGTGGGTTTATCTCTCAGCTTTCTATCCTGTTCCATTGATCTATATTTCTGTTTTTATGCCAGTACTAAACGGTCTTGATTACTGTAGCTTTGTAGTATAGTCTGAAATCAAGGAGCCTGATTCCTCCAGCTCCGTTTTTCCTTCTCAAGATTGCTTTGGCTATTTGGGGTCTTTTGTGTTTCCATACAAATTGTGAAATTTTTTGTTCTAGTTCTGTGAAAAATGCCAGTGGTAGTTTGATAGGGATTGCATTGAATCTGTAGATTGCTTTGGGTAGTAGAGTCATTTTCACAATGTTGATTCTTCCAATCCAAGAACATAGTATATCTCCCCATCTGTTTGTATAACCTTTAATTTCTTTCATCAGTGTCTTATAATTTTCTGCATACAGGTCTTTTGTGCCTTAGGTAGGTTTATTCCTATTTTATTCTTTTTGTTGCAATGGTAAACGGGAGCGTTTTCTTAATTTCACTTTCAGATTTTTCATCATTAGTGTATGGGAATGCAAGAGATTTCTGTACATTAATTTTGTATCCTGCTACTTTACCAAATTCACTGATTAGCTCTAGTAGTTTTCTGGTAGCATCTTTAGGATTCTCTA